ATTTTTGCATTATTAGCCCTGTTCTTGCCAGATTCTGTGAGCAGGTCCTGCCTCATACCGTGCCTCTAATACAAGGTCTCTCTTCCTACTTAGGTTCTCTTCCTACTACAAGGATCAGAAGAAGATTGTACAACCCATAAAACGTCAGGCCCTTCAAGAAGATATTCTACAAATATTGTTGCCTAATTGGTAAATATGGGCTGGCCATTTGGTTTTGCAAAAGGCAACTCTCTCTACTCAAGAAGTTCTTGGAAATCTTTACTTCTGAACACCTACAACTCACCTCCTGCTGGAGATACTCGCAATGTCCCCATCATGCAGTTCACTTGATCCTGCATGCTCTCTTGCTGTCCAAAATGCATCAAAGGCTTGTACCACCAGATGGGCACTTTCAGGAATCCCTGTACAGTGAATGAAAAATACTTGATTACTCACTTTCTGTACTATTACAAGTAAGTTAAGTTTGATTTTTGCATCAACAGAGAAGAAGAGTATTAATCTACAATGTTAATTTTCCATCTTTGTTTCTTTTCTAATCTTGTTTTGTGTAAAGGACTCCTGCACGGGCCTCGGATTCCTGTTTGTTCTACCTGTATAGGGCCCACGGAGAGGGTTAGTGTCAAAACTGGTTACAGCATAATGTCGTCACCCCGTTTTGTCTCCAATAGGTGCAATGAACCCCTTACTCAGAGTCTGGTAAAGACTGAGACATGGTAAGAACTAGCTGACTGAGGCTTAATTAACGTAAGACCTAAGTGACATTGCTAGTTTGGGGAAAAGCATCAGGCTGTATGACAAAGATTACATCTGCCCCTCTGACAGGGGTGTTTGTCCACCTTTGGTGACATTGCTTCACATTATGGGGCTCTGGTTAGATTCCCGACTGCTCTTAGATGATCAGGAAGTGGAAATGACCAGGATGACTCTCTGTCCACATCTGATCAGGAGATCGCAACCATTTCTTTCTGAGGCAGACGTATCATCACACACTTCTTTGTCACTTCACTTCAAGCCTATTGCAATGTGCTCTACACATTTTAAAACCATTTGTGAACAACCTGATACAAAATGTGGTGGCCTGCTAAGTAGAGTCTCTCACCATGTGCACTTTACTGTACAGATCTGGACTGGCTACCTGTTGGTTACCAGGTGGCGTTTCAGGCTTTGTTTTTGACTTATAACGTTCTAAATGGCTTAGGATCTGCCCAACTGTAGCATGACACAAAGTGAAAATGTTACCTTGGGTGGCAGTTTCCCTTCAGTTATGACCAAAGTATCTCCACTGCAGACATTAAGCTCCTTCAGTCTGGCACCCTGAGGGAGCAGAAAACAGTGTGTTTTGTTAAATGAATGAGTTTTTTCACTTGTAAAAAGCATTCTGGGTCTGCAGGCCTTAAAGCCACAGGGGCTTGTTTTTCCATACAAGAGCATTTTATGCAAAAATCAAACTTTACTCACTTTCTGTACTATTAGCCAGGATGGGTAAGGAATGGTGTCCCTAGCCTCTGTTTGTCAAAGGGTGGAGATGGATGGCAGGAGAGAGATCACTTGATCATTACCTGTTAGGTTCATTCCCGCTGGGGCACCTGGCATTGGCCACTATCGGTAGACAGGATACTGGGCTGGATGGACCTTTGGTCTGACCCAGTATGGCCGTACTTATGTTCTTAAACTTCATCTGGCTGCTGATTACTTGATGGAGACTCAACAACTGTTCAGTTGCACTAGATGGAGCAGGAATTTGGAGTATCATGTTGTGCCACCACCTGACCAAATGTCGACACCAATGTACAAGTCTTCCCTTTATATGGGTCTGTGTTGCAAGTTTAATAGGCGTCCTATTGCTCTCTGGTTCCCATTTCCTCTGAAGCACACTAAGTTATCAGTAAATAATAATACCTAGCACTTAATCAGTAGGTCTCAAAGCTCCTAACACACCAAATCCTAGGCTTCAGGAAACAATGTTATGGAAAATCTTTAACAATAGCCACAGCAAATCACTACAAGGCAAATACTTTGTGTGTTACATATTCTGTGTGTGTGTACATTCTCACTCTTGCCAAATCACCAACAACATAAAATAGGATGTGGCCTGCAATATACCACAGACCTAGGAGCCCTTAACATATTTGCTTTTTAATGTAAAACATAGGGTTCTCTTACTTCCTCACTTAATGCTTCTCCAGCTTCATAGCACCAATCGATTCTTCTCAAATGCCAGTTGTCACCTGCAAAAAGCAGAACACTAAAAACAGTCAGCAAAATATCACTATTACAAAAGAATATGTAAACATACTCTTCCCAAGGGTAATTCATACATTTCTCAACTTTGACAAATGTTAGAGAATAAATGGATGCCAAATGTAAGAGAAGAATTAAAACTAGTTATAGATACCACACATGCTCAACTCCCTAAAACAATTTGTTGTTTTGCAACCACATTTTCCTATTTATAAATGTTTCTCTCTCTCACTCTCTCTCTCTTCCCCTAACCCAGGGATGGCCAACCCAAGCCTGAGAATGAGCCAGAATTTACCAATGTACATTGCTAAAGAGCCACAGTATTATGGAATGATTATATACATGTGTGTGTGTGCACGCACACACACAATCATCATACACACCTCTACCTCGATATAACGCGACCCAATATAACACAAATTTGGATATAACGCAGTAAAGCAGTGCTCGGGGGGGGGGGTCGGGTCTA